AATTGGGGATATACATATATAAAGATGCTTCAAAAAATTCTTGGAAGAGTGGCAAAAAAGAGGCTTTTTTCTAAAGCCTCCTAATATATTGTTATTGTAGCATACTGCTATTTAGAATTATATCATTGTACATACAACTATAGAAGGACTTGTCTGAATGTATATAAACTTAGGATATATCACATAATTAACTTTAAAACAGTTTGTCATCCTTTTCCCACACAGTGACTGATAGGTATGAAACACTGACCTTGCCATTCAGCAGCATTGCCATGCATCAGTAATGGCAAAATCACAGTTCTCTGTCTTGCAGCAAGCTCTTATGAAAATGATGTGTTGAATAGTGTGATTATTTTCCTTGGACGTGGAAAGGATTAATGTAATTCACTGCTAACTGAAATATTCGAATGAAAGTTTGAGTCCATCAGATGTGCCTCAGACCCAAATCCTGATTATCTACTTCTGAAAAATCAGCCATTAATAATCCTGTAAATCATAGTACTACCTCTTTTACACACGTGGGTTAACATGAATTGGAATTGACTTTGGTAATTAGTTGGACCATACTCTTTATTGTTATGCCAGCTGCTGTATTTTCAACATCCCTCTTCCCTTAAAGGAGATAATGAATTTGATATGCACCAGTATAAGAACATAGAGGCCCTGGTGACATAGTGGTTATTACACATTGAGCTGCTAACACCAAGGTCAGCAGATTAAAACCATCAGCTGCTTCTCAGGAGAAAGGATTGGGCTTGTTACTCCCATAAAGAGTTAGTCTCGAAAGCCACAGGAATAGTTCTACCCGCCCTTATTGGGTCGCTTTGAGTCTGCATCTACTCAATGACAGGAGTTTGGTTTGATATGAGTATAAATTAGAAACAGCCAATGTGTTCGGATTTGAGATTTGATGGTGCCCCTTTTGGCTAAAGAGATTTCAAAGCAATAGTAGTCTTAAAGTTATGTGCTTAGTGCGATTCAGTTCTAGTGTCTTGTTTTCCTTTTACCCTTACGTTGCATTGGTAGATTGTATATGTGAGGACTTTCGCTTCGGATATTTGTATGACTTTTCAAAGACTCGGTGTGCTGCCAATGTATATTGATTTTACAAGAAACATTTGTAATTTTGTTATGTGTTAGTATGCACATTTTACTATTCCCTTTGATGGCTCAGAACTGTGAAAGCTAGTTTTGAAGAATCCAGCATTGAGAGTCTCTAAGTGCCACAGCTGAAAGTCTGCACTGACCTTGGTGAAGGTGGTGGTGGTTAGTTGTGTCTCCAGAATTTGTCATTCTTCTGCAGTAGGAAAACCGTCTCACAATGTCCCATAGAGAGCAATGTGATACACAGAAATCTGAAGGTACCTTAGAATGAAGTTTAGTTTGAAGAATTGTTTGGGAAGTAGTTTCAAACTCTTTAGAAAGGACCCTATGACTTTGATTTGAATATGGTCTCAACTTTTAGCTTTGTTTTCTTTTGTTAACATATTTAGATAAATGAAACCCCTCCCCGCCCCTCCTAATTTTATTTGGATGGTTGGGGGAAGAAAAAATTCTCTTAAAGCAAGTTTTTTACTTTTCCCCAAAGATGTAAAAGATTTCAGGTCTTTGCCTGTACCTTTAAAAGATTTATCAGGGATTTGAGGCCTGCCTTAGAGATTGTGTGGACCTGAGGTTAGAGACCCAGAGAATTTCACTTGTGCCTTGTCAGTGGTTGTCAAACTGTGGTAACGGACCAGCTTTGTTTTCCCCATTAACTAGCAGAAGACTGCCGTATATATTCGTGTATAAGCTGAGTTTTTCAGCATATTTTTAATGCATTTTTTGTGGTAACATTAAGTGCCTCGGCTGATATTCGGGTTGGCTTATACTCGAATATATATGGTAATTTTGTAAGACTAAAAATGAAGTTCTGGAAAATATAATTGTAGATAGACATACATAGTTGTACATGTTTACTCTCAGTTTTTGTTTTATTTCAGGGAACTGTATTTCACATAGTTGTGGGACCAAGACTGGTCCGTGGCTACCCATTTTATGTCAGTGTCCAAGGTCAGGGTTGGCAAACTCTTGTTAATGGGCAACACCCATTCCACCACCTGTTTTTAGTTGGCATGCAAGTTATTTTTACATTTGTAAATGGTCAAAAGAATAAAAAGAGCAATATTTTAATGTGAAAATTAAATGACATTTGAATTGGCAGCACTGGTATTTAAATATTTCTTGGTGTGGTACAGCCACACTAATTTGTTTATGTATTGTCGTAGCTGTGCTTGTGCTGTAATGCTGGCGCAGAGGCTGAGATGAGTAGTTGAGACTGACCAGAGGGCCCACATTGCCTAACGTAGTTACTATCTGGCCCTTTACAGAAAATGTTGGCAGGTTCTTGCCTTAGAGCATAGCATGGAGTGAGTGAGTTAGTTCAAGCAGGGCCTACATTTTAATGTACTTTTAAATTACTACTAGCTGGCATGGATTGTTAGACTTTGGGATTGCCATACCTCTTTGTGTTTAATTCTCCCAGCAAATCCCGAACTTTCATAAAAGTTAGATACGTTTACACTCCTGCTGTAGGCAAATTATGTACTTTGACTTCTCCTAAAACTCTTAATTCTATTGAATTTTGGTTTTGTTTTTTATAACTTCCTGTTTGGTGATTAAATATTTTCAAGGAATCCTTGGGTGGTGCAAGTGGCATTGATACACTGTGCTGCTGCTAAGCAAAAGGTAGGCAGGCAGTTCAAATCTCTTCAGAGGTGCCGTGAAAGAAAGCTCTTCCAGAAAATCAGCCATTGAAAAACCCTGTGAATCACAAATTCTAGTGGCATACTTGACACGAATGTGTCATCTCCTTAAAACCAGTTAAACCAAAAGAAAACGTCAACTAAACTTTAAGACAAAGACAGATTTCTATGACGAGACTAGGGAAGCTGTAGGTTAAAAGACTGCTTACAGTTTGTAAAAGATGAGAGTTTTAGCCAGTGATTTTTGGAGGCACCCAGAGCACTTGTGGTTAGTAGTGTGTGCTGCTAGCCACAAAGTCAGAGGTTTGAACTTCGCTTCTGCTGCCATCAAGATTTAATCTCAGCAGCCCTGGGGAGCAGCCTGCTATGTCCTAGGATGTCCCTGTCAGTCGGAACAGACGCATCGGCAGTGCGTGTTGCGCGGTGCAGTGAGGCTTTCAGTGTTTTGCCTTTGCACACATTAAGCCAAGAAAGGAAAGCTCTCATCGTATTATTGCCCAGCCCTGTTAAATCAGTGTATTTATTTCTTGTTTAAAGTAGGTTTTGAAGCTCTTGAGGCACGCAGTGAAAAGCTCTGCTTTCATGGTGCTGTTATCTCTTTGTTTTCCTGCCTTTTGCAAGTGCTCATTCAGCAACCAAAGCTGGTAGCTGGCAGCCTCACATTTGATACATGCGTCTGCTTCTTGGTGAAGACCCTTTCTTACTAATAAAAACTTCACCTTTCCCCCCTTGGAATTAAAGAAGTGTTACCGTAATTGCTCCAGTGATTGTGATGAAAGTAAATGTGCTTCTACATTGTGGTTCTTCTATTTTATTCTCCTCACTCTGAGTCAGTTTATAAACATCTGGAAAATCATCGTGTTCATTGTTTACATTTAGAGTGCAGTAATACAGAGAATTGTCGCAAAATCCCACTGTGCATCTTCTCAGACCTTGGCTAGTTTTTTATCTTATCCCAGAGCTAGCACAAGAGATGCAGATGCATACCATCCTAGCAGCTGCACTTAGTTCCGTGTAAGACTGTTCCTTTGTGTGTTATAACAAAGCTATGGATTTGATGGCTTCTGCGTTCACAGAAGAGGAAGAGCTTTATAAGCAGCAGGATTTATTACGTACATGTGGACTACCTTCCAAATGTTTCAGAGTACATGAATACTTAATCATGAAACTGTTCATGAAATGTTGGGTTTTATCCACAGTAGTTGCTCAGGTGTGGTTAGACACCACATAACGTATTTAAACCACTTATTTTTTGAATTTAATATTTCTATTCTGTTTGAAATTTATGCTAACTTACAGTGGTTAAGAGTCACATCCATTCTGGTCAAGCATATATAAAACCTTATTTATTTGAACTGTTTGAGTTACTTCTAATTGAACTGTGCTTATTTGAACTAGTTTTAATATATTTATTCCCTCAACTATTGATTGACTAGCACTACACACAAATACACAGGCATGCACTCACACATTAGAGGTGAAAAGACATGTTTGTAGATGAAACAGTAATTCTCTTTTGTAGAAGTCCCCATACTTAAGAATTAATTCTCTGTAGCTACTTTTACCCAGTATTGGCTATTCGGCACTCATTTCTTAGCATGCATTACAGTGATTGAGTTTCAGTTTCTGAAAATTTTCTATGGAAAGATTATTGTGTGAGGCAGTTCTCTTTTGCAGCTAAGCTGCAGGGGACCAGAGTAGCATACCTTATCTATGTCTGTTAAACTCCTTGGAAGCAAGCCAGTATGTTCTCGTGAATTTCATATGTAAGCTGTGAGCCACTAAAAGGCTTGCACGATTATTATAACTGTTCTGAGGAGAGGAAACGTTGGGAAATTCGGCAGTAAAGCAGCAGCGGCAGCAACAAGCAGCAACAGTGGTAGTAAAGACAGGGCAGGTTTACCGTTAGCATATTTCACAGTGGGAGTCATTGAGCACACAGCTTCTTCCCATCCTGCTGTCAGAGGAGGGAAACCAAAACCAGCTGTTTCAAGATTTTCCTAGTTTCATGTTTATGATGTTAAGTCATGTGATAATACTGTACCCTAAGTTGCCAACTTTACTTCACTCTAGAGAGGATCTTTTGCTGCAGTGCTCCCCCCCAACCTTTTTCTCCACCACCAACCCCCCTCTTTTTTTGAAAGAGAAAACCTTGTGCAATGTATGTTTATGCCTACACAATGCCGAGGCGACACTTACCAGTAAATAACCTCTGTATCCCTGAGGTAAGATACTGTTTCTGCTTTCCCTGCACAGTGCTACTGCAGCACGGAGCTGATCCAAACATTCGGAACACTGATGGGAAATCTGCCCTGGACCTGGCTGATCCGTCAGCCAAAGCTGTCCTTACAGGTAAGAAGACCGAGTGCTACCGGATTATTTTCTTTATAGAACTACTAATTTGATGGTGGAAAATCTTTATGTACTGAATCCCTCCCCCCAACCGATTAAGCTAAACAAATATGTATGCCATTATCTACTACTTTATTATTGATTTGCCAGATTAACTGCCTCATTAATTGTTTTGCTGTCAGAAGTATGGATTGTTTTGCTACTTAGAATTTCTGAGAATTATAGCATTAAATGATAACATGCATTATTATTCACTGATACTTTAGTCTGCTTGTTGTTGTTGTTTATATCATAGTTTTGCTGAACCCCATCTTCTCCCCTGCTGATTCTTAAGACCCTCACTGTTGAGTAAGCAAGGGCATTTGTATTGCAGTAAAAGTCGTTTTGATCAGAAAGACAACCTGCTGCCTTATGCCTTGGATCGATAGTTAAACGAAAGGTGTTCCTGCTCTTCCCCAGATACCCATTTGTATTCTTACAATGTGTGTGTCCACTTATTGCTTATCACGATAGCTACGTAGTTGTTAACTGAAGCCATGCATACCTCTTTACCTAAATGATACACACTTTGGACTTAAATATTAATTTTATTAAGGTAAATGTCAAGAACCCACAAAAGAGGACGTATTGAAATAGAAAGTATCTCTCATAACAATATAGGAAATCATGCTCAGTGTGCTAAGATATTAAGCAACTGTTTTCATTGATCTTCAGTCTCAAAATGCTGCATCGAAGTTATTTTTGCTTTTCTTCTTCGCATCTAAGTTCTGCCGCCTTTGCCCGCTTTGACTTAACGACCTTTGTAATTGGAGTCTTTGTCACTGCAGTACTCAGAGTATTATTGTTTTAGGTGGTGTGCAAGTAAAGGACTTAACTACCTCTTAAATTTGCCCGTTTGGAAAAGTAAATCTTTTGTTCACGTTTGCATTCAGAGCCCATTAAGCATTTCTAACAAAGATTCTGAGGTGAATGGAGTATGTTTTGAAAATTTATAGAATGTTGTTTAATTACTCTGGGTAGACAGCCCCTACTGTGCTGAAATGAATATGTCTGCTGATTCTGAATCATATTTTCCCAATTAATAAAATATTAAGTGATTTAGTTGCTGAACCAAAATAATATACACGAAAGCATTAAGGCTACTTTGAACCAGCGTTGCCAATAAGAAATATGTACAAATACATAATCTTAAATAATGGAATTGAGATGTGTAGCTTTAAGCCTGCTTAGAGCCTTCTGGTCTTTTTTTCTAACACAGCTCTGGGCAACAATAACAGCATTAGAGCAGTTTCTGACCAAGAGAGAAATACGGCTGTAGAGGTCTATCAGAAATGCTGACCAAGATTTGTCTCTGAATCAAATGTCCTCCCTCTGACCTTTTTCTTCTCTTCAGTGCTCCGTGCCTACCTTGCCCATTTGTTAGATGCGTTTAATTCAACACTGTGGAAACAGTTCCGTGTTCAGGTTCACTTTTTTAAAAAGACGAAGTAATGAATTTTAAAGGAGATTATATTGTCTGTTGGTAGTTTGGGAAAGAGCTGTGACAGTGAGAACTCATGGAGACTGAAGCTCTCTGGGGGACAGGTACCATATCGATTAAACTTGATTCAAAAAGCATCTAGGATTGCACTTTTCTGAGTTAAGAACAGAGTCAGTTCTTCTTGGTCATAATACTGATTTCATCAATTGTTTGTTTTTTCCCTCCCAAGAATATTGAATTCTTTGGGCATGATATACAACTTTTCAGATATGCTTTAAAATAAAAGTAAATATTAATGTGAATTTTGTTGAAAATATAAACTACCGGTAGTTATACATTTATGTTATATAATGCAGTGAAATAAGAGTTATATGAAGTATATTCCAGAATGTTTTCTGGCCCGTGTAGATTCTGTACTAAACAATTATTTCCAGTAGAATTATGGTGTTACTGTTATTTCCAAAGCTAAATTGAAAGGAGTAAGCGCTAATAAAAGGGTATCTCTTGGAAAGAGGGCCGGAATTTAGAGTTCTCCATTTATTCTGCTTGATGTTCACTCTTGGTCCGTATGCCAGTGCAGGCCGCTTCTGTCACCTGAGGGTCAAGATTCTGCTCTTAGTTTTGTCTCTGGGAATTTTCATTTTTGAAAACGACTTTTCGGTAGTCTCCTTTTGTATTACTACTTTGGAGCATCAGGCAAACTTGAATACAGGTAATCTGTATCTTCCTTACAGGAAGCTAACAAAAATCTCTTTACAGAAGGTTGAAAAATACGTACATGACTGGTAACTTTTATACAGAAATAATGCATGGATTTTTACAGAGCTACACAAAGCAACAGCATACCCTTAGTTCTACAGTGAAGATACTTTGTTACATGGTTTTTCTTTGGCTGGCGAGCTTGTTGCTGTTTGCTGCCCTGGAATTGCTCCAACAAATTGACCCCCATCTGTAGCACAGAAGAGATCCTCAGCACTTCTGCTGTGCTTAGGCCGTTGTTGAGCCCAGCGTCAGTCCTTCTCGTTGAGGAGCTTCTTTTTCACTGAGCCCCTGACGAGCGCGATGCCCAGAATATGCTTCCAAGGATCATGTTGGCTGTACTCCTTTCTAGGCAGATTTCTTAGTTCTTCTGACAGTTCATGGTACTTTGAATGTTATTTGTCAACATTATAATTCACATGAATCAATTCTTTTTCGGTCTTATTCTTTGCCCATTTTTCACATGCGTGCGTATGAGACGATGTTAGGCGTACTTAGTTCTCAAAGTTACATACTTGCTAACATTTTAAAGAGTTCTTTTTTTTAAAAATTTTTTAATCAATTTATTGGGGCTCATACAATTCATCACAATACATAGATCAACTGTGTAAAGCACATCTATACATTTGTTGCCCTCATTATTCCCAAAATTCGCTTGCCTCTTGGGTTCCCGGAATCCGCTCATTTTCCTTCTTTTTTTTTTTTCCGTCCCCTTCCCTTCCTCCTCCCCTTTCCCCCATGCACCCTTAATAATTTATAAATTATTATTATATCTTATATTACACTGTCCGGCGTCTCCCTTCACCCAACCCGCTGCTGCCCTAGAGAGTTCTTATGTAGCAGATTTGGTGAATGCAGTGTGATTTTTATTTCTGGCCTGCTGCTTCCATGAGTATTGATTATGGGTCCAAGTAAAATGAAATCCTTGACCACTTCAATCTTTTCTCCATTTATCATGAGGTTATCTATTGTCCAGTTGTGAGGGTTTTGGTTTTCTTTACATTGAGTTACCATATATACTCAAGTATAAGCCAAGTTTTCCAGCACATTTTTTATGCAGTTTTTGTGGTAAAATTAGGTGCCTCAGTGGATAGTCAGGTCGGCTTAATACTCGAGTATGTACAGTATATTTCATATTGAAGGCTGTATGTAGTCTGATCTTCATCAGTAAGTCCTTCGAGTTCTCATTGCTTTCCATGACTAGGTCATGTCATCTCTATCATGGGTTGCTAATAAGCTTTCCTTAAATCCTGATACCGCGCTTTTATTCATGCAGTTCAGTTTATCAGCTTATTTACTCAGCGTGGTGATTGAATTAAGTATGGTGAGAGAATACAGCCTTGTGGTTTACCTTTCATGATTTTACACCATGCAGTATCTGTTAGATCTCTTGTGTGAGAAACACCGCAGACCGTGGCTCCGCAGGAGAAAGAATTCACTCCGCCGAAGCCTGGATTGTGATCCCAGTGAGTTTTATCATGGATAGAAGAAGTTTCAGGTTTTATACAGGCTCCCTCAGGGCACTTCACCCGCACGTGGAGTCTGAGGCCCGTGGAGACCGCTGCACAGCCTGCCCAGAGCTGCTCGAGAGACAAGAAAGAAGCACAAGCACGGGGCTTCGGGATCCTGCCCTTTCAGGGCCTTCCTGCTGGGAGGTGTGATTGATGGTACTGGTTGACCCCATTGGCTGAATTAAATTCGCCTGGCCTAGATGGGTCTATCCAGGTGTACCGCCCACCTAGGTGTACCACCCCTTCCTGGCTGGAGGAAATGAAGAGATGAAAAAAACAATCTAATAACCATGTGAATTGTAGGTTGTTGTGACTATGAACTTTTTTTTTTTAATCATTTTATTAGGGGCTCATACAACTATCACAATCCATACATACATCAATTGTGTAAAGCGCATTTGTACATTCATTGCCCTCATCATTCTCAAAACATTGGCCTTTTTTTCTGATTATAAAAGAAATGCCTCATGGTGTTGTTTTTTAAGTAAAACTTAATTCTCCCATCTAAACCTTTTTTTTCTTTTTCCTACGAACAACCCACTCTTCTTTCTGCTTAATCTTAATTAGGCGTTTACTATATGGTGTGGTGGGTAAACATTGGGCTGCTAAGCACAAGGTCAGCAGTTTGAAACCAACAGCTGTTCTATGGGGAAAACATGAGGCTTTCTATTTCCATAAAGTGGTACAGTCTGGGAAACCCACAGGGGCAGTTCTACCGGTTCCTGCAGGGCCACTGTAGGGGCCACTAAGAGTCAGATTTGATGACAATGAGTTTGGTTTTTTAGTAATTTTTAAATACAAATGTTACTATTTACATGAAAATTCCCTGAGGGCATTAGGTATTCTGCAACGAGGTTTTAATGACTTAAACCTATGTCCTCTCTTAGTGTCTTGGTTTGTTTTCATTAATCCTCTAGTGTTTAATGTTTAGATAACACTTTTCAATTTAGAGTCTTTAGCCAATAAAATTACCCATCTTTTATCAGATTCTGTTTTAGCAAACACAAATATCTGCACTCTCGACTAAAAAGTGTATGCAGGTTGGATAATCAGGAGCTTCCCTTTGAAGAGGCTCCAGTGCGTCCATGGTATCTTGGCAGAGCCACGTGCACTCAAAGGGAAGGTTCAAAGAGGAGGGTGAAGATGTTTGTTATAGGAGTTTGGGAGGGAGTAATGGGAGTTTGGGTCAGAAGACAAGGAAGGTAATAGCAGATTGATGCTGAATGTTTGGAAAAGGATGGATGACCAAA